TCGCCGTCCTGCCTGTCTCGTTCTCTCTTGCCGCCCCGCCTGCTCCCGTGGGCGCTGCTGCAGCTGGTGCCGGCGGCAGCTGGCGCCGGGGACGGACCCGCCCAAGGTATCGAACAGGGGTCGGGTCGGCCTTCTCTTGCTTTCCCTCGTGCCGAGCGAGTTCCTCCTCTTCCCACAAGCCGCTGCCGCTGATTGATTTCGAGGTGGCGAACTTGCACGGTTGCACGGTTTTGTCGATGCCTCTCACCTTGTGACCTGTGTCAGTGAGCAGAGACGTGTCAGGCGGCAGGCCGAATTTCTCGAGCTCGGCTTCTCGAGCGAGGACTAGTAGTTAGCTGTTTCGCGCCCGTATTGGCAAGCGAGGCTTGCCCTCGAGTTAGCCTGATAGTCTCATACCCTCCTCTTCCCACAACGTGGGCAGTTGGGTCGCTGCTCATCATCAGCCTGTTTGGCCGCCTTGGACGGCGCTGCTGCCTCGGCGGTGCCTGCCTTGTGTGCCCCTCCCCCCTGTCCCGCGCAGCGGCTGGCGCCCCTGCTGCTGGTTCCGGAGCTGCGCGCCGACGGCGCGAGCAGCGCCACCGCAGCACCTGTCGCCGCGCCGAGTGGCTTGCATCGCGGCCCCAGACATACAGCCCCTACCACGGTCGCGATGGCGGCCGTGGGGGAGTGGGTGTTCGCAAAGCCGAGTTGAAGCGCTTCTGGGGCGAAGTCGCATCACTCCGCGTGCTGCTCAGTCGTGCCGCGCACATGCACGTCGATCGCCCTGCGAGTGGCACGCCCGACATGAAGTTCGCGGCGGAGCAGACCGAGCGTAACGTTCGCTTCGACACGCTTCGTGGAAACGTTCATGATGACGGTACTGCTGGTGAACATGTTGATGAGGAGGGACTTCTTCAGCCACCCCTGGCACATGGTCACACGGTGTCTGCTGCCAATCCTGGACCAATCAGGTGGCGTCGGGTTGCGTCTCCAGCACTCCCACGAAGACGATCATGTGAATGGCGCCGGTGACCATGTCAAAGGCAGTGGCCAGGAACTGAGCAAGGTAGCAGTGTCCTCGCCACCTTGCAGTGAATACTGCGCCTGTGTCTGGGTGCAACGCTGCGTAGCTGGTTCCCGCCCGTTGCTCGTTGTTCTGTGATCTCGGTTGCTACGATGGATCGCACCCGCCGCGGTCTCGTTCGGCGTCGCGCTGTTGGATGCTCTTTCCCCGATCGTACTGTTCAGTCTTGTTTTTCTGTATGTTGCCGTATCTTCCGTAGGACGCGCCGAATTCGTGGCGCGGCGTATCCAACATTCTGAATCATAATCCGTTTCCCTTTCCTGTTCTTGTTCCTTTTCCCTAATCCTGCTCCTTCTCCTCCTGATCCTCCATTTTTGTTTCTGTCCTCGTCCTCCTCCCCCCTTTTTTGCCTCCTCGTTTGGGCTGGTTTCAATCCCCAGGGATAGGTATGGCTGGCGCGAAGGACCAGCAGAAGGATGATGAGGAGGGTGATGATGATGATGATGATGATGATGATGATGATGATGATGATGATGATGATGATGCTGATGCTGATGATGATGATGATGATGATGATGATGATGATGATGATGATGATGATGACGATGACGATGACGATGACGATGACGATGCTGATGATGGTACTGATGACGCTGATGTTGCTGTTGTTGATGATGCTGGCAACGATGATGATGCCGATGCTGATGCTGCTGATGGTTGTGGTGGTGATGATGCTGCTGAGGATGATGATGGTAATATGGATCTGCTGATAATAAGGCTGTTGCTGAGGATGATGACGATGATGACGATGACGGTGGTGGTGGTGATGATGCAAATGGTGATCAGAATGGGGTGGGGAAGGGAAGAGGAGGAGGAGGAGGGCGGAGACTGGAGGATGGAGCCTGGAGGAAGGACGTGCCAGGCGGGGGAGGGAACCCTGAGGGAGCAGTGAGGAACCAGGCAGGCACGAGTCAGCGGAGCGCCGCGATCGCCCAGCGCTGACAAATCCTCGTCGTGTCGGGAAACCAGACCCGACGCCTCCGCGACGCGAGTCGGCCGTGCCCGTGCCCGATCGGCTCGGGGGCCCCGTCCTCTCTTTGCGGCGGCGCGCGAAGTGGGGTGGTGCGAGCTAGGGTGGAGACAGGAAAAGGAGCTAGGGTGCGTTGCCGAGGAGCTTGCACAGGAAAAGGAACGCCTTGGACAGGAGCCGGAGGCACACACACACACACACATAAACACAGCCGAACGTTGCCCCTCGCGTGAGCCCTCATCTCCGCCCCGCCTCGGGTCGACGCCTCCAACCCAAGTGGGGTGGTGCGAGGGTGGCGGGCTTCCAAAAAGGCGGGAGTTGAGCCCTCCCGGCCTCTGATGAGGCCTCTGACGGTCGCGAGCTCTGGCTCGGCGTGTCTCGCCGCCGGCTCTGGCCCACGACGCGGTGGCGCGGCACGCCGGCAAGGTGCTAGTCCTCGTGGCGTGCGCGACCCGAGCTTTTTCCAGCCTCCTGCCCCGCGGGGCGGAGAGACGCGGTACCCGCTCGCACGGCACAGCGTGAGGCCCGAGCCGCCGCCGCGACGCGCGAATCACAGGCTCCTGAGCGTATGCCGTCGAGGCGGATTCGTAGGTCGACCCTGCCGGATCCCGGGTACCCTCGTGTCCCGGTGCTTCGCGACCCGTGCCTTCGGCCCCCCCCGTGGCAGTGTGGCCCTCGGACGGGTTCCCGTGTCCTCTCGCTCCTCCACGCCGAGCCACTTCGGCTGTGGCCCCTCGGCCCTGCCAGGATCCCCCCCCCCCCGCGCCTTCCGGTGGCGCCCCCCGCCCTCTCGG